GACATAATTAATTAAACAAATATAAAATAAATTATAGAAAAATATATAACCATTAGTAGAAAGCGGAGTAAAAGTGATAAATAAATGTAAAAAAGGGAATCCATTATAATATCAATGGTTTTGATGATAATATCAATGGTTTTGATGAGTGCTTTGCTGGCGTTTGGATGGAGGACTGGTTTGTTGTATATTTTGATCGAAATTGATTTGTCGGTTAAAAAAATCTCTCAATTTTTTGGCTTTAAGTCGATTGAGTTTCTCATTTTGTGTGGTCAGTGCCACCAATACCTCATTCAGATCCTCCTTCACGCACGACATGGCACTACAAAACGCTTTGACGCCATCGCTGTCCGGATCATTGGATGCCAGTACTGGCGAAGAGTTGGCCACCATTTTCAACGACTGCTTCCCCTCTTGACAACCACTCTCTGGTTCACTCAAATCACTCAACAATTCATTATTATTATCCACTTTATTATCACTTATTCCTATCAAATACGGACTCTTTGTTGCACTCAACTCATCAAATGGGCTTAAATTGCGGTCATTTGTCATCACCTTTTGGATCACCTTTTGGCGACCATTCGTTGAATACGTTTTGCTTTCAATTAAATTGTCGTTCATTTGAGTCAATGAGTCATTGATTGTAATAATTGTGTCGTTATGTCGATTAGTATTGCTTTGCATATCGTTTGCCACAATCTTATCGATGATATCATGGCCTTTTAGTTGGTGTCCATTGGCCACCATATCACGCCTCATGTCCTGCAAGAGTCGGACAGTTATTTGCTGCCAATTCTCGTCTTGATTGTCACTATCGGATCCAATCAAATCATATGCACGGCTTTTGTTCATATCTTTATTGGCCACCACTTCATGACCATTAACTGATCCAATCATCACATTATTGTTATTATTAGTGTTAAACCCATGGATGGGACTCAGAACCAAGTGATTGGTATCAGTTATAGGATAGGCGTTGGATGTGTTGCCAGAGTTGGCAATAAGCGACTGGTTTTGTATCTTAAGGCGCATCACTTCCCGGATCAGCTCATGCCTGCATTCCTCCAGATAACTGCACTTCTGCTCACATCTCTTGAGCCTCTCAATCAGATCACACAATGCTATCCGAAGACCTAATTCACCACAACTTGTATTCATTGCAACCAATGATGGCATCAAATGCTATAATAATGACAAAACTAATTCAATATTCATTTCAAGTGTATTTCAATTGTCATATCATTTACCTCTCAATGAGTCAATCAAATGGTAGTCAATATATGACTATAATTGCCATTCAATCGTAATATCAATTCATAGCAAACATTAACCACTCATTTGTCGCACAATCTATTGTTTCAATGAATTGACGCATAAAACGACTAAATATTAACAGATTTTCATACAAATACTCATTTGGTTTGCGATTGTAATCACTGATTGAGTGAATAGTATTGTAATTGTGTTGTGAATGCAATACAAATAGCATTTCAAATGTCATAAACGTATCAATATTTACATGAATTCATCGCAAATATAGATTGCATTTGCATTGGGAGTCAAATACGTGTCGATTATTACTGCCATTCAATGCCAAACACAATGAGCGTCAAATCAATCACTTTGTTTTGGTTGAGCGTTATTTATGAATCATGCACTAATTATCCGTCAATATATGCTGTTATTTGGGGGCACTGTATGTCTCAGGTATTTATCATTATATGTATGCATTGAGTCATAAACGGGGAGTTTTCAAAGTTGCTAAAAATACTGCACTCTATTAATGACTCGATTTATTGAACCGTCGATGAGATAAACAAAAACTTACAGTTAATCCGTTGACCACAAGATGTGCTTAAGACATGAATCAATGATTGCATGAATTTCGCGTTCATTTGAACCATAATTACTATAATCTATAAACGGGACTAAAGTGTGAATCAAACAAATCACTCAACATTACCACAAAATGACGGCAAAAGTGTTTAACGTTTTCGCGAATCTCGAGACAGAGTTCTTGGAGGCGAAGAAGAGTCTGAAAGATGTGGACGAATCCATCAAAAAGATCACTGGAAGGGAACCCAAGTATTGCCACCACATGTGAACCAATAGTAAATTGTTGTCTCATTTGATGTCTTGTTTTGGTGACAGTTTGGCGGCGAAGGGAGTCAAGGGTCAGACCAATGGCCGCAATCGAGTGGCCCTTCCGTTCGGGAACTCCTTCTCGACGGCGATCTCACAAATTGAAGACCAATCGGACGAACCGCTGAGGAAACGACGCTTCTTTGGCGGCAGCGCTTTCAGCCGGTATGCCATCCACTCATCGGTTGATTAATATATGGATTAATAATTGATTTAATGATAGTTTACGCGGAGATCAAAGAGATATCGCTTACGACGACTACGAAGAGCCGGTCCGCAAGCCTACAGTGCAGTCATCAGTGGTGGCCACCACTCGCTCAGCAAAGCCACGAACGCAGGCCTTAGAGGAGCAGAAGAACGACAAGAAGAGTTTGGCCCGAAATAAGCGGATGTTTGGTATGATTTTGGGAACTCTGCAGAAGTTTCAGAACGAAGAGTCGACCAGAAAAGACACGGTTTGTCACAACTATTACTGCCATTGTTTTCGTGAAATGATTGCCATTTTGTGTGAATTGATAGCAAACGCAGAAAAGAGTGGAAATCGAGAAGAAATTGGACGCAAAGGCGGAACAGGAGAGGACAGCCCTTCGGAAAGAGAGACGCGAATTGTTTTTGGTTCGCCGCGAAAAAGAGGCACAAATCAGACGTATTGAGCATAAGATGCAAAGAGTGGAGATTGTAAGCCAAACAAGACTTCACTTTTGATGTGTGAATAAAACTCTTGTTTTACTTTGCATTGAATAGCATCAGGAATGGGAGCGCTCTCACCAACACCTCTCCAATTATATTCAGACCAAAACCAAACCCAATCTCTTTTATTTGCCCGCAAAACACACTCCGGAAACGGAAAAGAGACTCCAAGAGACTAAAGACAAATACAGATGTAAGACATGTTCATGTGATCCACTTTATAGTGTCATTAATTGTATGATTATGTTGTGAACAGTAATTGTGGCCGAAAAGAGGGCTAAAGTGCAGAAAGAGTTGTCAGAAATCGATGAGCTCTACAAAAAGGAAGAGCAAACTCTGTTGGATGAAGACATGGAAGAGATGGAGACTCACGAGTCAGACACCAAACAGAACTCAGATGAGACCAAACCTTTGGCCCAAATTGAGAGTCAAAGCGAAACACTTGAATCTAACAATAATAGCAATAATATAGTCATTTCAGACGACAATAATATCAATGTCTTGAATGAGAC